GTGGTCACTTCAGCTTGGAGTGCAATTCGAACTGAGGTAACTCTTAATAAGAAGAAACGGGAGAATATCTAATGTGAATATTTAATGTGAAAGCGCTGGAGATAGACTGGCTCAGCGTACAACTGATATCCTACTAAGATATTGTTACCTAACTGATTCGAAGTACGGTCATGAATAAAAAGAAAAACAACGGGGTTTTAGAAGAGTACGATCTAGAGGTTCAGATAAGCCAAAATAATCTGTCTAAATGTCGAGGGTTAAGTATGTCAGAGGCAAATGAATGCTCACGCCATGTTATTGCCTGCGAAAATTATTGGAGTGGCGAGGTAGTTTAGAAGTAAAAAAAAGGTATTGTCTTGGAAATATTTGACTTTCTTGTGCCATGTGGAAAGTGATAGATCAACTGAAAATAAAATTATTGGGAGCCAGCAGCGATCGAGAATAAGAAAGAGCGTTAGCCTCAGAGTTAAGATGGCTAGTTACGGCAATGAAAGCAGGAAATTAAAGATCAGTTTAGTTGTATCAGGTGAAAACCCATGAGGTATACAGTCTTCAATGTTAATTAGACCTTATCTGGTAAGCAAACCTCTGCCACGGAAAACTGTGCTTTGTGAAGATGAGGATAACATAAGATTAGGACCAGCTACTAAATGTTCTATCGGCCAGTTTACATATTCATACTAAATGTGGGATTGCGTAAAGATGAATTAACTACATTCAGTTTTCCAGCCTGGGCACTAGCCAGTTGTTTATATAAAAAAGTGATTATCGTACGATTTCGTTTAGTAAAGATTAACATGTGTGGTATTGATTTGATATTCTAATTGAAAAAATCTGGTACAAGGTCATCTATGGGAAAGAAGATTCAAAAAGTTTGAAGCTTCGTAAGTCCAAATGTTGATAATCCTAATGATGGAAATGCTCAATTACAATTTATTATTTGTTGTATTTTGCAACAAATGGCAGGGTAAGCCGAAAAATATAGTGATTATCGTTGTGAAGTAAATATGAAATCAGTATATGAAAACACTTCGAATAAATAAAACACTAACTAGGGTGTCTATGGTATCTACGTTTCTGTGTTGTAGCACCTGCCAAAAGCCTGTTATCAACCGACCCTTTATTAATGAGGTTGAATTTGACGGAACAACGTAGGTCTGAAAATCAATTAGGAATGATACAGGTATCAGATAGAATATTTGTGACGCTACATTTAACAAAGCATTCTGATTTTCTAGTAAAGGTGTCTCCAGTATATCTGACAGCCCATTGACAGTCAATCAGGAAGATGTGTGCACCAACCCTAGCAACATTATCACACATACAAAAGATTTGAACAGTGGGCATAGCCTCACAGAATTTGGAAAGCTGCACATTTGTTACCATGTCCTACTCTTTTCTACCATGAACTCCTTTATATCTAGAAAAGTATAGTCAATATCTAACAGAACAAAAACAGTCACCAAATACAACTGTTCAAAATAGGAATACGATCTTGAAGCTGTATGATGGATTTCTGTCCGTTCCTGATTATTGTTTCAAAGCAGTTTGAGATATCTGGTTAAGTTTTGAAAGCATACTCATGTATAAACTCGTTTTCTAGCAAAAACATCAGAATCGTTGCAAGGTTCTCGAAACTTACAACCGGAACTACAAATTTATGAAGATTAGCCTTAAAAATTAGTGTCGTTCTGAATAACCCACGACTAAATGAGAACTCTGCAGCATATCAATCAGGTTAAAGTATCTTCACAGGTCAATTGAGGAAGTTATGTAAGAGATATCAAAAGTAATTGCTTTCGGACTTCAAATCATTAAGCAAGTATCTATAAATAAACTAAGGTTTAAAAGTTACGGTTTTTCCTCTTGTATTTCCATTTGGCCTCTTCAGCGCAAGAGTTAAAATAGATTGACTGACTGATGGTCAAGTAATTCTTACTTTGAACCCTCTACCACATGATACACCATCTGGTCACGAATAATGCAGAAAATTCACACATTTTAGCCATCAACTCTCCTAGCGGTTCGGTATTTTCATTTTCATATTTTCTTATTGTACGCGACGATTTCTTAATCATTCACTTTGATTCCGCCTGTTATGGTGAAAAATCATAACTTCAGTAACATCGTTCTTTTAGAACTGTCCATTGGACTAGACATTTGGTAATTAAATAGGTACTGTTTAACTAAGAAAAGATTGTACGTGATAGCTTATGGAGCTAAATAATGTGTTAAAGGAAGTATTGAAGCCAAAAGATGGAATCAGAAGTGACATCCATTTGCAATGATGCTGACACGTTTCAGTCTAGTCTTACTTATACTGAATAGCAGCGTTTACATTGTGCTATTGTTTATGAAGGAGATATGAAAGCATATGTCTATGTCAAGTCAACTCATTCGCTATGTTTAAATGCTAATTGACTGTCCTATCGGACAGTCAGTCGTCAAACTTATTTTAATACCTAATATGGGTTGCTTTTTCACGGAACCCAAGTGTTATGACTAATTTAATGAATGTCTAGAGTGAACGTAATATTATCAAGGGAGTGCAACGTGGTAAAAGAGTAGAAAATTAAGGAGTGGAGACATTGCGGCAAGCGCCAGCTTAAGGTATGAAATTGATTAATTCACCTTGAACTTAAAGACGTTCTGCAAACTGTTTCACGCTCAGTGATTTATCGTGTAATTAGGAAAGGAATTCAGACTGATAGCTAGTTCGGCCAAAACCCACTGATATGTAATTTGTATTACCATTAGGTTACCACGTCTGATGACTGTGGAGTTTGGAAATCGGGAAGGCATAATTGAGGCAAACATGAAGAACTACCTCTATAGCCACAGTGAGCATTGGGAAAGCCGACTCTGATCCACGAGACAACAACAGGGATGTCAAAATAAGCTCACGAGAATGACAGTTGACGTCGAACAAAAACCCTCGGCAGGAGACAGAAAGAAAAGGGTCTCGTCGATTGTATGCACTACAAAAGCAAACACCTTGCAGCGGCAAGCTCTATGGGAACTTGACCAACGTGGTTTGAACAAATAGTCATGTACTAAAGCCCAGAAAGATAAACTGACAGAGGCAATACTGCAAATGCCTTTTCTTGGGTTTGATTCAATACTCTTAGCTGAAGATTTAAACACTCTATCTCTAAATCTTAGCGAACATGGAACAACTCTCTTTGGTTGGTTCCGTAGATGACTTGGCCCAGTCATGAGAAGTTCCGAGATGATTAACAATGTATGCAGCGCCATTAGATGGACTAAGGACGGAGAATCCCCAAACTTGGATTATTTGTTTACAAATGTTCAGCTTCTGGTCGAGGATGTTCACTTTCATACACCAATGGCACAGTCTTGTTTGAGATGGTAATAAACGAAACACTCAGTCAGGACGGAAAACAGCATTAAATTTTCTAATCTAGGGCAAATTACACACGCATGAGGGGAGATCTTCTGTATGCTCCTTGGACACAGGATTGATGGGGGATAACAACAGATGATCACTGGCAAACAGTGGAAGACATCATCCAGAATGGTATCCTTAGCAACGTACCCGAAGCATAGTTCACACCTTGGAAGAGAAGGAGTTGGTATAAGTGAGGCACTACACGCTTACTACTGGCGCAAATGAGAGCTTCGCACAGACGGAAGGTCTCTGTGAACGAATCCGACCATTATTCTTACTTGGCCTTGAGAAACATATGCAATGTCGAATTTAGAAGTAATGGGAAACACTTGCAGATGAAACTAGCACTCGAAATAAAGTAAATATCTGATTAGGTTTAGAACAAAGCGACATGTTACAACCAGGGTGTTTGTGTTCTCAAAGGTCTAAATAGTGAAGATCGTACCGGCATATAAATGGCTGAGATGTTCAACACCATCTTCACCGATCAACTAAACCAAGTACCTAAGTACATAGTTCCAATTGATGGCCTAGGTGAAAATCTACTTACTCATGACCTAGCACTAAGAGAATCTAATCTTTTCCTTTCAGAAAGTCACCACGATGTGACAATAGACTTGAGAAAGTGTGCAGAAGCCCTCAGTTTACCGATATTTAATCTGTGCAGGCATTTACTGGGGTCACACTAACTCTAAGCTGAATGGAAACGAGCTACACTTCCGCCAATCTTCAAAAAAGGACATAGGTAGGACACAAGCTGTTAGTGACCAGTGGCATTACTACCAATACTATGGGAGGTAATGGAGGGGCTGGTGAACGAACAAATCAGGGTGTACATGGATTATCCTCTCCTCCGTGAACCAGCTTCCCTAATGTATGTATTGAGAGCTCCCAGTTGTTATTACTTCCATTTCTTCAGATCACTGGTATAATATATCCAGCTTATTATCTCTGTTTCCTCCCTTTTGTTTGCTCTTCGATCATCTAGTAAAATCTTCACTACCAATTTACGGAAAAAAATTATCCATTTATTTACTCAGTCCTGAAATCTTATTTTTATTAGCACCAGAATTTTCTTATTATTTTTCTCCACATTGCAACTAACTTCTATTTGATCTGGTAATGTGAGAGATACTGCTGTTCAGAAACCCTGAGACCAACCTACTCATTCAAATCACGGGACACCACGAACAACGGTCAACCAACTAGAATTAGTTCATTCGAGTGACTAGACCGTCATCTATTTGTTACTACCAAATATTGAGGGACGTGCCTAAAAAACAAGAATCGAGGTAAAAGAAATCAGCTTGTTTATACTAGGTCATAAAAAGGATATTGCATATTGGATACATATTCATCAAAATCTTTAGGATTGCTGCAGTTGATTGAGTAAACCAAAATTGATGGATCGGAACGAGATCTAAATTGAACTATCAAGATTAATAAATGGACAATCAAAAACTGCCTCGAAATTGGATATCGATTTTGTTTAAGTCGCTTGTTAATCATCCTTGTGAATTTTTCACATATTTAAGTTGGTGATCTGTTAGTTTTGGTTGTTTTCGTGTCAACATCGGCTAAACATGGTTCTCAAATGTCCAAAGGTTCCTTGCAACATGGTAGTGACATTAATTATGATAAATAAATTTTAATTTTCAGGAAAGGAGGAAGAAGAACTTATTATTCGGAACTCTTACAGTTATTGGAGCTGTCCTTATTCAAATAACTTTTGGTTACTTTTATACAATTGGTAAGATTATTCATTATTAGACATTTTTTCAAAATAGCCAACATGGTCCCATATATTTTGAGCTACATAAAGGCTCGTGTTGATCCTGATGTTCAAAGTCAAGCAACTGTTTGGCTATCAGCCCTAGCACTGGCTTCTCAAGGTCTTTCAATGGCACTTGGTGGTCTCGTTTACCAGAAAGCTGGTTTTCGTGTGGTTGTAGGAATAGGCTGTTTACTTCATAGGTATGTTTGGGGATTGATTTTTAATAGTTCTTGAATTTGTGTCCGCTAATAAATGTAAGATTTAACCAAAATTTAACATTATTATGTTTATCAATTGTACCTACATCTGTTTATTATCAGATTTTTACGGTTTAAATTCAAGGTACAGAGGGGTGATATTTAATTTTGACATTATTTTTTATCAAATGAGCCTATCTACTTTTATCTAATTTTTCATTAATTTTTCAGTGGAAGTGTTTTTTTAACTAATATTACAATCCAGAGGACTTTCATTGGTGTAATTATAACCTATTCAGTGCTTATGGGTTTGGGGCTTGGATTTGCGTACTCGGTAGTGATGGGAGTAGCTGCAAAAGTAAGTTTTGGTGATTATTACATATCATTATTCAAGCAAAATTGCCTTAGTATGTTTTTGTTATAATAAGACCTGAGGCTTGAATTTGATCCTTTACAAAGTCGTTTAATCTACAAAATCCTTTGAAATGACTTATAAAACATCAACGTGATACCACTGGAACCTTGAAAAACCTTAATAAACTAAAGCTTTGTGTTTTGAGTAGATTTTAACTAACTTTAATGATTATTGATGAATGTAACGGTAGTTGTATAATAAAAACGACTGACGAACATAGTATATTGTTAACGTTTTTTCTCAGATTACAGGTACACATAATTTATTATTTCTTTTAAATCAGAACACATGATAGAAGTCGGAAGTACTGAAATTTTCAGTGTTTGCTGCCTATATAAACACTATATAATTTCCATTATATTAAATCTAGTGGTTTCCAAAAAGAAGATTCCTTATTGTTGGTTTAGTTGTCGGTGGATTTGGACTGGGAGCCCTCGTTTTTACACCAATCCAGACGGCACTTATCAATCCAAATAATGTGCCAGTTAATCCTACCACAAAGTGAGTCTAAATGAACCTAAAACAAGGGGTCATGTATACTGGTAGTTCATAAATTTCATGATGTACATTGGTCCGTCTCCTTGTAAAGCAGGATTTTGTGCATTCTAAAAGTGTTGACTGGAAAGTATTAGTTATTTTATTTTGTCATTTTTATTAAATACACCAAATTTCGTCGGTGTATATGTCTCAAGCCACCTAGCTTAGTAGTTTTTGCATACTAAATCTGACTAACGTTATACAAACAAGCGCAATTAGCAAATAAAATATAACAACAATCACCCCTTTCAACCACTTATATTCTTTCACATATACTAGATAAATGGAAATCGAGACTGTGTGATGGTCTGTTTATGAAAAAAGTCGTACAAGTTTGAAAACAAAGGAAAAACTAAAAAGATCATAAGTATGGAACAGTTTATGTACATCAATCTTACATAGCTTCAAATCCTAAATGAAGATATTGAAAGTATTATTCCTTTTTAAGTTCAACATTTCTTTTTACACTTAAGCTAAATCAATCCATGATTTGACTAAGCACAAATCTACAGGAAAATATTTTGATGAGATTTTCAGGGTTCTTAAAGGTTCAGTGGTGAACGACAAGGCAGTTCTTTTCGATTTATTCAGGAATACTGAAGTGTGAATGAATTATTTTTAGACAACCACTAGAAACCTGAAGACACTAGACAGCAGTTTTCTTATGGTATGTAACATATCAAAAGCGCTCATTCATAACTACTGCTACTCGCAGAATTCGAACTCAGGACCTTTGATCTTGCATACAAACGCCTAACTTCTGAACCGCTGGGCCGGCATTAAAAGGTTTTATTGTCTAACTGTGAGTAATCTAGAGATTTTAGGCATCCACACCCATTTTTCTTCCATAGTCACTATCTACATCCAATAATAGTGACCTGTGCTCATCAGGTTTTCTCACTGTAAACCCGAGAATTTTCTCACGAAGTTAGTTACTAGTGAGCACTCTGTACGATTTTTCATGATAGAATTATGAAGACTGATGCTTCTTACTAAAATGTGGATACCAGGGCAAAATGGCCATTCAGTGCTTTCAGGTTTCTAGCGGTGGTCTGGTAAAGATTGTATCATATTTCAGTAACAAGCAACAATCTCAATAACTCTATAATTATTAATCAGGAGTATTTTTCAGGACCTTGTATAAGGCCGAGATAGTAATTATACATCAAAGCACATTTATTCAACTGTATATAGTTACAATATAGCGTAAATCAATTTTTAGCTAGTTTATAACCGCCATTTTCAATATTAGAGGCGATATATCTGTCCTTAAAAAAACAACTCGTTAGTAGCTTTGGGAGTTCTCAGTCACTGTTAAACTAAATGAAATTAGGAAACCCTGTTTTGTATTAGAGACTGCTGATTTGAATTCGTTTAATTTCATTCAATACTATATGAATCGGAAACCTGTTCTGGCCCACGTAGTATCTTAGCGCTGCTCCTTCTTGGGACTAAACTAATTTGGAGTTATGCATATATTTTTTTAAATATTCCTGTCAGTAGCCGTTCATTTTCAGAGTTTTTAAATTCGTTAACTATATCATTTATATGCTTATGTAGAGTTATTTTAGAAAGTTTGACACTATGGCCAAACGATAATTATATGAACTTAACTGCTAAATTATCGACTAATGAATCCTGAAGAACCAAAAGAAATATATAAACGAGGTTCATATGAGCATTGTGACGATGTTCTTGAACGAAGAGCTAAGTTGAAATAGTTCCTGAAGATCAAAGTTTACTTGAATTTACTTATCATGGCGTACAACATAAATGATGATAGTAAACTTTAAAACAATCTAAATTCTGTTTGCCACGCCAAGTGCAACCACACTAGTAAACTAAAAGAACGAAACCCCAGTAGTTATTTTGTTTGCTTTGTGTTAATTCGTGCTTATCGCACCTTAGTATGCCAAAAGATTAGGCTGTAGTTACAAGTTATGTAGAATTTAATGCATCACATTAAGAAAACCAAACCTGCAGGTCTTTAAAAAAGAAGATGGTTGAAAATTAGATATTTTTAGTCAGTTTTCTTTAATACAGTATGAACTAATTCATTTTAAACGTGAAATTATGTTTTATAATTTTTTTATTATGTATAAAGGCTTTTTGACGACCCTGAGCTTCTAGATAGGATTCCAAGAGCGTTTCTCATCTTGGGAGGAATTTTATTGGCTGGACAAATTATCGGTTTTCTCCTTATGAGCGAAAAAAAACAAAAGGTAAACAAATAGTTAACTCTTAACTGGTTCATTTTATCGTCGCAAACATAGTATAACCTTTGTTGGGGATTATTTTAGTTTTTTTGATGTTGGTTATGAATTTAAGACAGTTACAGCAATCATCGATGTGGCGTAAAAATTTATTTTTAATTTTAATCATATGATAGGCTTTGTTGAAAAAGAATGACTAAGACACGATTAACCGACAAACAGTCGACTAACAAATTGTTTAGTATGGATACAGGTGATTTTCAGTTCACTCCTAATACTCATCGATCATTTCGTATGTCACAAGTGTCAGTTGAAAAGTTGTTATCTTATCTGATTGTAAGTTTGTATTTTCCGCAACGATAAAAATTTTATGACTAAGACAAACATGTATCTGGTTTGGATAGTTATTTTCAATAATTGGTAAATATGGTATGCTCTTATCAGTTATATTTATAACCTAAATTCTGACTCAAAAATATGATAGATATCTATAATTTGGTCATTCATTTAATGATGAAATATTATCCGGAATATTTGTATTTGTTAACAATTTTCCACTAATTTCCGATGGCTAGATGAGTAATTTGACTTCAGGAAATAAAATGATAAGTAGACTGATTACAAATGAAACAGCACAAAGTTTTGACAGACTATAGCAACCAGGTTAGGGTTCTTCGTGCCTACATGTTTGAGTATAGTGCACTTCAGAAAAAAAAGATTTGCGTATTCAACGTGAACGATGACTTTTTATGCGAAAATAGTGAATAAACTTCAAGGGAATTATAAAAGACGGGTTTTTTGATATGCTATTTTTGATTTGAACTGTTGTTATTTCGCATTTGGCATTTCATTGTCTTGATCATGTTCTAGTATGAAAAGAAATCTAATAAGACTTTTTCTATCATAGTTTATTAGTCAGAACAGTAAACTAAAGGTCTACTAATTATCTAACCTAACCAGGTAGATAAAGTATTGGTTGCAGTATGCCCAAATGTGTTGTGACTGGTTCCTACTGACAAATCAATTCTATTTCGATGGCATCATTGATTTAATCCTTTCGTCAATACTTTGCAGGTTTATTCATTTTTATCTTTATCGATCAGGTCTTTCGTTCATCGTCTGAGGTATTAACTTATCATTTTCTGAATCCCTTGGTTTATGGCCGCGATGTGTGAACACTAACTACAATTTCTTCCTTCAAAGGTAGCTGTTGGTCTTAGGAACGTCTAGAATATAACTTTGTTTAAATTACTAATGTAACAATCAAATGTAAACAAAACTGAGATTATAGTTTTGTCGCTTCTAAACTGATCACTAAAACTTTACTGTTATACTATGCTGATACAAATGATCACTTTTATTTAAACAAGTTATTTCGTAAGAGTCCTGATTTTGTTGTTTATGATTTTGTGATCTCAAACATAAGAAGTTTTGTACAGAGGCTTGCTGAGTTTTCAGTTAAATATCAATAATCTAATGACATTAGAATCTAAATATGGTCAACGTTTCATTCATGTATACCTATTCAGTTCTGAAATACTACTTAGCAGTTTTTTGTTCAGTGAACGAGAAAACCGTTAGCGTTGATTTTGACCTTCATTAAGCTATAAATTAAAAATTGAATTTTTACACTAATAAGCATGTATGCAACTGAAAAAAGCTACATATTTTGTTGTCCGTCAACGTAATGCAGCACATTTTCACTTTCTAGACTAATCCTGGTTCTGTCAAAACAAAAACTGAGTAAGTCATTGTATGTATCCGATTCTAATTCATCTAACATTCATTAAATTTATTTTATCGTGCAGAATTATTTTAGTAGCCCTTCATTTCTTTTAAGTAGTAAAATGCAGTAAATTCTGATAGAAATATTTTAATGAATACTTTGTCAGGTACCACTGAAGTTTTCGTTTGCTGATAATTCACTTGCAAAACGGACAAAAAAACCGGGAATATCAGTGAATTATTGACATGGTTAACCTGCCTCTTACAATCCGTCTCTGTTATTGTAAACGGCAGAAATTGCTGCAGACGGTTTAATTATTATTCAAGGTTGGAATTCGCGAACTACAGTTAGTTCCCGGTTGATTTAGTTTGTTAAAACACCTACTGTTGAAGATCATTTATTGTTTAACATTTCCACTTGCTTCCTCTAACTAAATAAATATCATCAAAGTTTACTTAAAAGAAATTAGAAATCCATATCCGAACACTATCTGTGACATTGTTAGATTTAGGAAAATTATTTCCATATTTTAAATTAATTTTTACTTTTTCATACTTGGAATATATGTCATGTTTTAAAAATATTACAAAAAATAAAATATATTATTAATTTCAATTTACTTTTTAGCCAAGTTAATTTAGGACCTAAACAATTATTCCGTAAAATTGACTTCTACTTATTATGGATAATCATGTTCTTATCTATTATCCCAATTACAATAATCACATCAGCTTACAAGGTAAGTGGTTATCAACCACAATAGACGTATATTTATATTAAAACTGACAAGCATATGATTTTTATTATGTCATGATCACTTTCCAAAGATTCCCGGTTCATTAATTAAACTGTTTAGTTAAACTTCGTCTCAGTTAAACAAAATATATCACATATGCATTACATTAAAAAAAAACACTGTAACGGTAAAATGACAGAATTATTCGGTTATCTTGAGTAAGGTATAGTTAACTGATCCTATAGAAATTTCTCTGCAAAATTAACCATCTTTTATGACATCACTCTATGATTGTTTATGCTTTTTTTCCTTGTACATGGTCGGTATATCCACATATTGTGACGTGCAACAAAGTATTGTTATTCGATTCCTTGGTTCAGAAAAGTAAAATCGAAAAACACTGTTGATTTGGTGATGAAAGATATTCATTGTTCTGTTTAGTCGTTTAGTTACTGAACTTAGGTATTGAGAAAAGATTCAGGCTCACATTGGTGAAGTTCCCCGAATTCACTGTTTGGTTAGTGAGCTAATAATTTTTCGCAACTACGAACATACCTTTATAGTATATATGTTTATTATTAATTAATCTGAAGATAATATTGGTTTATGATCAAAACAGAATTTAGATATCACGAGTATTGGTTAACTGATACGGGAAACAATTCTTGAAAAGTGTATCTGTGTTGGTCTTTCTGTTTTTGAAAAATTTTACTGTTGGTAAACATGACAATTAACTTTTTGAATGTAAATACATTGTTCACCATACTGTCATTGTATATTTTAGCTTTTTGGACAAGAGTTTATCAGTGATGACCAGTACCTGTCCATAGTTGCTAGTATAACAGCACTGTTTAATGCTGGTGGTAGAATTATGTGGGGTGCTATAGTGGATCGTATTTCGTTCAAGGTAATGATTACATGTGATTATACATTTATATCTTTACAACTTTATCAGACTAAAAAAGTGTTTTCTTTTTGTATTTATATATTTTGATGTAGTTTTTGCAATGATTTACATGTATTTATTTTGAAATTAGTCGTTGACAATATATTTAATAGGTTAATTCAACTTTTGCTGTTGATTCATCTAGTTAATGGTGTTGGATATAATTGTAATGGTTTCATTTCTTAACAAATAATTTCTTGTAGATTACATATCCTGAAAGTTATATTATTATTATTATTACCTGATGCTACTTGGTCAAGTTAACTGTTATTGTTCAATGTTTGCTCTCACTGTCAAGCGGGAATTACCATATGACATGCTTTTTTTGTCTAGAAATTACTACGTTCATAGAATGTTACTGATTAATAAAAATATATGCCTAAGATGGTTAGCAGTTTTTACTCACATATTATAAAATTTAAGAAGTTGATACATTTGCAAATGTATGCATCGATGCTTTGGACAGGTTAAAATATTTACCTTAAGCAAAAGCTTCATCTATGTGCATTTTTGGACAATTTTGCTTGCTAGTGAGGAATGAATCAATAGCTTGATTTCTATCCTGTTCATATCAAAAGTCTTTGATTTCATTAATACTCATGTCAAATAATAAGTATACAGTATATGCAACAAAAGATCCTATTGTGAAAGAAAATAATTTAGTAGATTGTAGTTTATTTTAAAGATATACCCAATACTCAGAGAAATAGGATTACTTGAAAAATATAATTAGATAATATTGTTTTTGACCGATAACTGTAGAAAATGTCAGTTAAGATTTAGAGAACAAAAATATTCAAGCTGAAAACATGTTTTAAGGAAATCCGATTTTCAGTTAAATAAATTATTTGCCGTAGTAATACAATATCGGCTTTATTTAATTTGTACATACTGATTTTTTTATTATTAAATTATTAGTTATAAATCTAGTTAGTCAGTTATTTGAAGCTGTATGAATGTTACTGTGATTATTTGATTCAGATCATAGATTAGAAAATTAAATAGTTATTGTCACTAAGCCTTGTGTGTAAAAATGAATTAGTTGTTTAACAGTTCAACGTCTATCTTACATATTAAAACACTGACTTATTAAACTTCTTTCAATCAGTCATTTAGTTTCAACCTAGAACTTGGTATGTACAGATTTCGGTGAAACTTGTTTCACATAAAAATTCCTGGTAGAGATTGTTAAGTTTTATATCTTAGCTAAACTAAATGTTTGTCTATACTATTAGGATTTTTAGGCATACAGATATCAATCATTCAAAGTATCTTTCGCTTAACCTTTACTTAGTAATTACTCACCTACTCGAAATGGATCATAAGTCACCAACTGGCATTCCCCAATCAACTATGCCTAGTCAATTTCTTAATTTGTAATAGCAATTCTTGATTACGTACATCTCTTTTTATTTTCAGTTACCGTTGTGCATTGTGTTAATATTATGGGCATTAATACTTTTAACATTTCCGCATATCAGAGGTATACCTATGCCGGGTCTTAAAGCTGCATACGCAATTTGGGTTTGGGCATTATTTTTGGTATTAAGTGGAATGTTTGTAATTATGCCAGGTGGCACAGGAAACATCTTCGGTCCTACTTATTTCGCTATCAACTATGGAATAGTGTTTACTGGATTCGTAAGTTAAACTGTTCAAAAAAATAAATTTTTTAATATATTCACAAGATTTATGTATGTATGTATATGTTTATATATTCCGTAATGAAACGGACGTATAACATATGTTTAAATGTTTTCCTATAACACTGAACAAGTTTCGTTACTTCATACCTTTCACATGGATACTTTTATTAGTTTGATTCACTACAACACAGCATTTATAGCATGAAAAAGTCTTAAAACAGACCTACTGAATAGGATGTGAAATTCATGCAGATGAACAATCTATTCACATAAAAATACATTTTACTAGTTACCATTCTTGAACACTTGATGTTCCAGATTTTTTGTGCATGAAGAAGCTTTGTAAGATAAAATGATGACATATCATGGATTTTTTTGCTTTTTCGAATCTTCTTATTGATGGGTAGAACTGCAATTAATCAGTCACTTTTAGTATATGTGCATTCTTTGCTCATTGTCTTAATATTAGTATTAGGTTACAAGCATTATAAAAAAAACTGAGCTGTGACTAGCAGTGGAATGCAAAATGAATGAACGTGTTACGCTCGTCACTAGGTATGCTTGAAACTATTACGGTTTCACCTTAGTCGATAAACGAGAACGAGAAAATGAATCAAAGTCCAGGTAGGCTACTCTGATCCATTGACCCAAGGGCACTAACGAGAAGTCTTGATATAGCTTAGAAAGTGTATTCTACAAACAATCGACAAGCACAATACATTCAAGCACACAAATAGCGTTTGTTTATACACCATAGAGACGTCCTTGGGAGCGTCACAAAAATAGCACACTACAATAACACAGTAACCATTCACAACCAAGGATTTTCCTGATGGGAAATGAAGTCTCAAGGTCAACTGATCAGTCCATGAATAAAATACAAAATAAAGACATTTATCAAGAGAGTTCTGGGTATCTAACATCCACAACAGAACGTCAATTCTAGGATCCAGAAGCATTTAGCTGATGAGTGTCAGATGGGACAAAACGCGTATTGTAGATTTACCTGCCCTAACCATACTAAGAATGTCATGTATTTTTGACAATAAAATATAACTTCTTATCAACTGTCTTTAAGTAATCTTGTCAATAGTAAGTTACTAAATAATTTCTCTTTTCTTTAAGACTGTTGGAAGCATACTATGTTCTGCCGTCTCAATGTTTATACACGCTTCTGATCCTTACCTAGTACAGTTCAGTGGTTGTGGAGGTGTTTGTTTACTCGGTATGTTCTTATCTTTTATATTATTATGAATCGAATAAGCCTGATTGATGTATGATGATATCACTTATTTTAGAGCTGAAAATTAATAATTTTTCGGTTTGATTCCTTGTATAGCTACGTTTTTATCAATAAGGTGTGTTTTCAAAAGCAAGACACATATTAGTTATAAGATTCTGAAAGCGAATTGCATTGAAATAGTCACAAATAGTATCAAAGGACCTATAAGATATTTGTATATTTATTAGCAGTTAGTTTTAGTATAATAAATATGTGGTGAACTGTTAATATATCCTGTCAAATGGTTTTTAGGAGTTAAATGAATGCCAAGTATTAAGTTTATTACTAAAAGATAATATGTACTTACCGCTAAGATATAAATGTCTTGGACAATGGGAATATAAAACTGTTTGACGTGAACTGGTCAACGAAAATATTTTAATTATATTAGAAATTAAAACCTGATCACTTTGTTCCTGAACACGAAACATTTTGTCATGTTTAAAGATATTAGTCAGAATTGACTAATATAACAAAAATAAATCGAAGTGAAACATCATTATATCGTTAAAAATAATCCCTGTTTTATTTTCAAAATGATACAAACGTAACTCATTTCATGTATGATTTTTGGTATTTGATGCTTAACTTGTTCTCAGAAAAAATGTTTCTATATATACTGTGTTTATTGATTAATTCTCGTGCAATATCCATCCTACCTATGTTCTACGATGATGATTGATTAGTCGACCAGAATTTTCAAGCTGGAGTCTTTTGGATGTTGATACTCATTGACGAATTATTTGCCAAACTCTGACGGCTTTATTGGCTCTAGTAAGGAAGGAAAATCGTGATGCATATTAAAATTGTTAATAAAAACTTCACCTAGGTTTTTTAACAGTTCAAATAACTATCCTCTGAGTTACTTTTTAGAGCATAACAAAATAATTGTAAAGTTCATAGTATTTTCCCTTAATAAGCTATAGAGATAAATAATGAAACGCTATCCCTTTCTTTACGAGAGTTTTTCAAAATTCAGGGCTAAATAAATGAATATTATTTAAAAAAACCAAAACAAAACATATCAATGTTGTTTCTTTCAAATTCTATTTTTACAGCATTCCTATTTGCAATATGGATTGAAGACAAAAAGACCATTCCGAAAATCGACTGTGTTCCATGTGTACGAACGTGTCCACGTGCAAGAGTTCGTCAAAATAGTGAAAATCTGGAGAATAATGCATAAGCAAACAGTTTACACATTGTTTTTTTCCTTGCTTTACTGTCGCTGACCAAATGCCACCAAAAATTATTACTCATTGTTGGTTTTGTTGTGATATAGTTTGTTTCTCATCATGCAATCAGTTTTCTTTTTTACCTTGGTTTTCTAATCTATTCTTTAAAAAAATAAAAAAAATTAGAAAAAATCATCGTTTATTATGTGTGTGTAATAGTTATTTTGTCATTTTTTTTTCATTTGTATTTTCTTAGTTTTGGAAGGATTAATTGCGAATTCCGCATTTATATGTTCCTTCGATTTGTTCCTATTTTTTTGTTTATGTTTTCCCCTAAATTCTTATGCTAAACTTCTTTTTGCTGTTAAAAGTCGATGAAAATGTCGGATGGCCGACACAGTGTTGTTTTTGTTGTTTATTGAAAGGCTGGCTGTAAACTACTGTTCAACCAAACCATTTTCTTAACTATTTTTTTTCCTTTTTCTCTTTTAATTAGTATTTTGTTTTTTTTTATCATTTCATTGAAACATGATTTAGAATTTGAAATAATAATAATAATAGCACTGAAAGCACAATTGACTCAATGAATAGGAGAATATCAGATAATAATAATCATAACAATAACAATCATGTTTTCTTTAATTGTTATTACTATGTGTCATTGTAATTTCACTTTAATTCCAATGGAAGCTGTTAATAAAAATTTGAAATTATGTCATTTTATATGATCAAATTAATAAAAAAAAATTGTTGAAGTGTTATTGCCTGCATATTTTAAAATAGTTATGATTTGAATGCGAAATTATCTGCTGCGCTCAATGATTTTTTGTTTGTTTGTTTGTTTGTTTTTGTGTTTTGTGATAATTTATGCTAAACCTTCATTGGCACAGTGTAGTAGTGCATTGTCATAATTGTATGCCAGAATATGCACATTGATGATGAACTGTTTTAAATCAAGTGAAAATGATGTTTTTGACCATGCTGACAGTTAGATTTATTTCGTATTTCGTAATAAATTATTTAAGTTACGTTTACTGACACTCAGTTGCATTTGATAGGACATGTGATATTTGTCGAATGTACCAGGTGTATATGCGTAAAATAGATATTCATAGGGTATATTCATCAACTCATTATATACATGGTGAAATGTCATAACATTAATTCTATCGATGGCTAAACAGTACACGATAAAGAAATCAACATTTTCGGTAGATATGTATTTTGGAAAACAGAATATTAATCTCTAATAATTTTACAAAGTGAAGAATAATTCGTTGTTATAACTTTGTTAAGTTATGAATATTTTATGCAAAAGTTACTTGAAAAAAACAATAATATAAAGTTTGGAAGGTTTTTATTTTCACAGTCCAAGTGAGATAGAATTTGAAGCAAGCAAGATAAAGGGTAGTAGTGCAAGCAAAAGACGCCATATAACCTTTATTATCCTCAATGACTGTCGTAAAAATGAAATTCGCTCACACCTCAACCATTATTTATGTGAATAGGAATCTTTTTAAATGAACTGAATAGCAACCGAGATTAAAACCTTTAATTAATTCCGTGTTAAACATACACGAAAGGATCCAGACTGTTGAATGGGTAAACTGCACGAGAATACACTTAATTAATTCGAATTATACAATGAAATGACAGCGGAGTGAGGAGATTTTTAAAGAAAAAAAAACCCACTTCCTTGTTGTACTTTATTCACTGTTTAGTATTCTTAGTTTACAACTATGTATTTTTGTTCACTTTGCAATCATCGGATTCAAACATTTTATCATATGGACCGTTTAAAAAGCCTTGATTATAATAATTGTTCATTATTTCATGCTTCAAAAATTTTATAGCACTTCATTTCACAAATTTGTTTGACTTACTAATAAAAATAATCGCGGTGGAATTCGCGATGCACATTTTATGTGTGTTATTCAGAACATGGATATTCCCTCATAACACTCTTGAACTTGATACTAGGATTGATAAATTGCAGTGCTAAATTTGATCTATAGGATAAAACAAACCTTAAGATATAACTTTGTGTTTTCGCTTAAAAGCTTAGTTCAATAAGTACATTTAATCACTTTGCTGAAAATATTCATTTCATAAAACTGTAGCTTTAGTAAATGCTTCTTAAAAACTCTAATCAGCAATGTTCAAATTATTCTAGGTAACTTTAACAACAATTTTCAATGGAAGAATAAAAAAAACTGAATATAAATATACTATAAAGGCAGTACAATGAACTGAACAAAACATTTGCCACACGAATTTGAAAGGAAGTTCTATTAAATATAGTTAACAACAACTTGTATTTGATATCAATCGTATTATTCTAGTTTCATTGAATGATCATGCATTTAACTAATTAAATGATGAGTGAATTTTCAGTTGTACATATAAGCTTGTAGCAACAGTAGGCGCTTTATTTTCATAGCTTCTGGGTTGGAAAAAAAACATGCGAATTTCATGGAGCAGAAAGTTTGTCCGTGCAAATATTCTGTAAGTTTGTTACTAAAGATGTCACGTTTTTATCGATCATTATGCAGTCGCGTTTTCAAAAAGTTTCCGCTTAATTGAATCAAGCTAAACAGCATTGAAGGAGATGATTTCTGAGAAGCGTGAATCTTTATGCTCTTAGTGAATATTATTCTTGTTATCTTAGTGATATTCACAGATACTCAACTACACATTTCTGTCTACTTATTTCAAAAACCTTGGAGAGTAGTCTGTGACTTCCAACCATACATATTAACGCATTATTCTATTATGTTATTCTATAAACAAACAATTAGTAATTAGAATTATCCGTTCAAGCGAAAACTAATAATAACAATGAATGTGTGTTAAATAAATTTGTGATTACACATATTACACGTATTGACAAGAAAAGAATCCCTGATCATATTATCTGATGTTTATGTTGCACAGTATGAAAAAATAAAAAATTAAACTTATGTTAGACTGATGCTCCTCAATATACACATAAGTGCATGAATAAAAATTTGTAAATACAACAATAACTAAACATCTTGTTGATGAGAAATAAAATGCTAAAGTTGAATAAGAATCAAGACTTTGTCTCAGAATTCATTGCCATGTAATGAAGATGATGAATAAGTAAGCATTTCATTCTGAAAAATATTCAGCATATTTCGAACAGAACAAAGTTGATATCGGCTATTTTTTCGTAAAAAAAACTACTATGTCAATTTGAATTTACATAGACATTCATTTGAAACAAGAGTATGGAAGCGATTGCTAGAAGAAAATGCGATCATTTGAAGCTCTCAATAGTTGACTCATTTTAAATCATTTGGAAAATAATAATAATTATTTAATAGTTCACGTGTATTGTGAAAGCTAAGTCTTCAATTCAATGCACAATTAATTATTGACCCTAAGAATGACTGTTCTATTCACATAAATCAAAACTTGACTTTGTAATGATAAAAAGAAAAAATATATAACTGTAAGCTTAATTTTAAGAGAATATATATATTGAAAAGATTTTATATATATATATATATATATATATATATATATATATATATATATATATATATATATATATATATATATAGTTGAAAAGGTATTCCTTATCGATGAAATATCATGAGATGTACATTCAGAGATCATTGATTAGAATGACTGACTTTTGAAAAGTAACTCATGAATAAAGATTTTCTATTCATATCTAAAGAGAATAAAGGTAATATTTTATTTTATTTTATTATTCTCATATTTATGATTAGTAAAATTGATCTAACAAATATTCTTGAGTAATTTAAAAATAACAAAAAAAAAGAATTGATGATGTGATACTCTCTTTCCTTACAGGTAGTACACAAAAATAAAATTCTAAGCACGAGATGATTTATTCCATGAAAAATTCCATCGAATAATTTGTTTTTTAAGAAATTTCTATCATAAAGTCATGAATGAATTTTTTTTATGAAAAATGCCTAACGATAATATGAATCCTGCATTCCTTATCACTTTTTGTTGAAAATCAAAACAAAACAAGAGAAGTATTGTTAGGTTCGTCACTAGGTACGCTTGAAGCTATTACGAGTTCACCTTAGTCGATAAAAGCGAACGAGACAATGAACCAACGTCCAGATAGGCTACCTTGATCCCCAAACTGAAAAAGAGAAGTCTTGATATAGCGTAGAAAGTATATTCTGCAAACATCCAGCGAGCACAATACACAATGCAATCAAGCACACAACTCTCGTTTATTCAAACATCATAGAAACGTCCTTGGGAGAGTCACAAGAATAGCACACTAAAATACACAGCACCCAATCATAGCCAGGGATTTTCCTGGTGGGAAATTAAATCTCAAGGTCAACTGATCAGCCCATGTTGGCAAACGTGATATCCAAAATAAGGCATTTATCAAGAGAGTTCTAGGGATCTAACATGCCCAACAAGTATATATTGAATTTCTCTTACGTGAAAAAAAAATAAATCGTGTTTTCAATTTACTACAAAATCTCTTGTATGCACTATATTACTAATTGATCATCCTAAAGAGTATCTTTAGGCAATCAGTTTTTAGAATGGTTTGTTTTAAGTAGTTTACTGTCAGTTAACTATGAGTGTTTTTGTCTTCCATAGGTGTATATCTATAGATGTGATATTGATCTAGACAAATATTGATCACACATTTATATATGGATATATTTATGCTTGCTAGATCTTTCATATTAGCTGAGCGATAAAGGAAAGTTTAACGACAAGAAAAATAATTCACGTAACAAGAACCAACTTTCGTAATATTGCACCCTTTCGTGGAAATGTCGTCAATTTAATGATTGTTCTTCAAGCCAATTATGATACCTTTTTGTTCTGTACTTTTTATCTAGAGAATCAACTTAGTGTAAACAATTTGTAATTGAATAGCTTTTCAGCTAAAGTTTCGAAAATTGACGTAACCATAGAAAGAAATGTCTGATTTGTATCATGTGTTTCTGCATGATCTTTGATTTTAAAGTAAAAATTAGCTACCAGCAAATTTGGTTCTTGCTTATATCAACCACCAATAAATCTTTTTATCTTCATTAAAGTCCACTGAGAAGAGATATGCGCTTATTTTTTGTTTTTGA